TCACTACAGAAGTAGATTGTCCCATCTTCCTTCTAAGGAGTGGCTGCTGCGTTTGAACCACCAGCCTTCTAGTTAGCAGTCAAGTGCCTTAGGCACTACGCTACCAGAGCTGAGCAAACTGGAAAGCAGAGAGATTAATTAACTTGCAAGAAGGCATCACATAACTGGATGTTGTTGGAGTTATGATTTAATTCTAGTCAACCTATAAAATACTGTTCTATAACCATGACATGGATCCCTGGTGCCATAGTGGTTAAACTCTCTGAGGCTAAGCAAACAGCCAAAGGTTTAAACCCACCAGTAGCTCTGCAGGAGAAAGAATGTGACAGCTGCCTTCCATTAAGATTTATAGCCTTCGAAACCATGTGGGCCAGTTCTACTCTGTCCTACAGCATAGGTATGAGTTGGAATCAACTTCTTAGTAACAGGTTTCTTAAAACAAACAAACAAATAAACAACTATGATACTTCTGCTTTGCTTACTAGACCACGTGTAAACCCACTGGAGCAAAAGGTGAAAAACGGGATGAGTCAAGAGGCACCTGAGATGTACAACTGAAGGAGGCACACACTTCCATGATTGTGAAAGCGCAAGGATGGCGCTGAAGGCTTCCTCACAGTTTCTACCTCAGGAACCTCCCTGGCTCTGATGAAGGGCAATGGCTGGAAAAAATATTTGCCAACATAAGAACTCAAAAGCACTTTATCAAACACCTCTTTTACTAGGCCATCTGTGGCCTAAATGCTAGAGTTATAGATTTAAAGAACATATTGTTATAATTGTCATTATAATTATAGAACCATAGTAATAAGTAATCAATTTAAAACTGGTAGGTAGGTAATAAAACTTGCCATATCATGTCCTTAAATTCTCACAAAGATGTAAACCTTAGAAATTTTTGACACCTGCTTAATATCACATAAATAATAAATCAGAAGATGAGTCAAACTCAAGTCCATTACAAATATATATATATATATATATATATATATATATATATATAGAGACTTGCTGTCACAAAACTTATGTTCAAGTGGTCAAATTATCAAAAATTAGTGAGCCTCAATACACTTATATGTATAGAATGTTGAGTTTGGAAACAGTTGTCTGAAGCATTTTTACAGGAACAACCAGGTGATGGTGATGCATACAGCCCAGGGGACATAAATAGCAACCGTAGCCTCTCCCTCTCCTCTGCACAAGGAGCAGATACACTTCATGTCCCTCTTTTTTTTTTTTTTTTTTACCAGGTGTCTGCCTTTATTGTTTACACCTGAAACACCGTTCCAGGGAAAATTTCCCTGAATAAATTCCTATAATCGTACTCTCATGATATCCTATCACAGTCTATTTATTTTATTCTACCATACAAAAAAAAAATAACAAAACCTCACAGCCCTATCCAACTCATAGCAACCCCTCCTTGGGTGCTGAGGCGTTATCTCCACGGAAGTAGATCACCCAATCTTCCCTCAATTTTATTTCTAGAAATATCTAATATAAACTGTATAATATGAGGTCATATGCTTAAAGTCATCAGGTGACGGGAGAATGAAGTGTTGAAATAAGCAGTTAAAACGGTATGTTTGAAGACAATTTCTGTATGACATTGTGTTTAAGAAACTTGATTGAAAAAAGACATGGAGAAATAATTTTAAATGAGGTTAGATGGCTAAACCTGAGTGTCCATTGGCAGCAGTCACCAGTTACCCCAGTGCTTACCAGAAGGCTGGCGGTTCAGCCGCTCCTGGGAAGGAAGGTTGGGCAATCTACTTCCATAGCGGTGATACTGGCTCAGAAACCCGAGGAGGCATCACTGTGCGTTGGATCCTATTCGACGGCAGTTTTTTTTTTTCTCTTTTGTGCTGGGTAAGGTATAACTTGATTTGCACTGGGCTGTGCTCCAAATATGTGGTGAAATTATTACAATAAATTTGAGGTGACAATTCACTGTAGTTTAATAGGAGGACATGGGGTATACATAGATAATATCATTCTTGAACTGCAAATCATTGTAGTGATCACAAAATCCTCAAAAACATTTAGAGAAGTGGGCAAATAGATACATGAAGGTAAAGGGAAATACACATGTAAATTTGTCTTTTCCACAGATGAGTCATCAAGAAAAACCACTCAAAGAAAATCTAACTCAATGGATGGAATTTGTTCTCCTGGGATTTGCTGAGCTGCCCCATCTCCAGTGGTTTCTGTTTGGATTGTTTTTAGTCATCTATATTATCATCCTGATGAGCAATGGCACCATAGTTCTAATAACAAAAATGGATCCTGCTCTCCAGAGCCCTATGTATTTTTTCCTGGCTAATTTTTCCTTCTTAGAAATCTGCTATGTGTCAGTTACTCTCCCCAGAATGGTGATGAATCTTGGGACTCAGAGAAGAATAATTTCCTTAGTTGCTTGTGCTACACAGATGTGTTTTTTTCTAATACTTGGAGGTACAGAATGTTTGTTACTGACTGTAATGGCCTATGACCGCTACGTGGCAATTTGTAACCCTCTGAACTATCCTCTAGTCATGAACCATAAGGTCTGTATCCAGTTGGTGACTGGCTCCTGGATCAGTGGGATCCCACTTCCTATAGGACAGACCTATCAGATTTTCTCTCTTCCCTTCTGTGGATCTAACCAAATCCACCACATCTTATGTGACCTCCCCCCAGTATTCAAGCTGGCCTGCGGGGACACTTTTGTGAATGAGATGTTGCTCTACATGTCTGTTCTGTTGTTTGGCATGATTCCATTTCTGTTGATCCTTGGCTCCTACACTAAAATAATCTCCACCATCCTGAAGTTGCCATCAGCCACAAGTCGGGCCAAAGCTTTTTCTACCTGCTCTTCTCATCTTATGGTTGTGCTGCTATTCTTTGTATCAGCCCTCATTACATACTTAAGACCTAAGGCTAGCCACTCAGGGGGAACCGACAATGTGCTTTATCTGTTCTACACTATCCTAACTCCTATGTTTAATCCCATGATATATAGTCTAAGAAATAAAGATGTCATTATGGCACTGAGAAAACTGCTTTGTAAATAACTCACTTCATTAAAGAATGAATTAAATGTATAGTAGTTGCTTTCTCATATATTTTAGCAACATTTCAACATGTTTACATTTAACTATGCCTTATCTTTCCATAGTGTGGTAATTATTTCCAAATTAAGAATTACTTTTAATATTGGAAATTATCTGCTCAAGTTATACAGAAATACATGTATTAGAAGATAGAAAATTAGTATTTGTTTAAGTTCATTGTGCAATTTCCCCCATCAATAAGAACTTTTACTGGGGTTGATTTCATTTAGTCAATTGTAATATTTTATATAATATATTGGAAGCTATATCATTCATTTCCATTATTGTGCATACAGTTGTGACACCCATTTTGAAAACCAAGTTGATGACATGCATTAATTAAAACTATATATACATTTTGTCCTTGCAGTAACACTCCAGAGAAACCATATCTTAAGGGAAACAAAACATCTTACAGTGAGAATGTATTTTATATATTGAGATGGTTTTTTCATATCACTAAACATTAGACATGACTCATGTGCATATCAGGTTAAAGGTTTTTATATAATACAACCACTACTGTGGAGTTGAACCTGACTCATAGTAACCCCTCCTTGGGTTTCTGAGGCTGTATAACTATGGAAATAGATTGTCCAAGGAGCTCTGGTAGCATAGAATCTAAGGCACTTGACTGTTAACCAGTAGGCTTTCAGTTCAAACCCACCAGCCACTCCTTGGAAGAAGGTTGGGCAATCTACTTCCGTAGTGATACCACCTCAGAAACCCAAGGTGGGGTCTCTATGAGTCGGATCCGACTTGACAGCACATAACAACAATATAATACAATCCAATGTCTTTATAAAATAGATATTTATTAAAATTTTTATATCTAATGAAAGAATCATGAGGTTATTCATAAATTTTTGCTTTTATTTTCTTTATTTCTAATTTTCAGGAGAAATGAGAAAACTATAAGGGAATAGATTTTAAAAAATAACAGATAGCTATCTGCTATAAAAACAAGAGATATCCAAACATACACACATACACACACACACATTGTAAACAATGTAAATTGTGAATATTCTGGAGTCAAATTTTTATTATTACATTTTAGTGTTCTTTAAAATGAACTTGTGTTATCCACTTAATTGAGAAATGAAATAGCAAATATGAATTGATATGGATAATAAGAATGATAGTAATTAGTTGTGCTGTTTGCATACTTATGTTGCTATATTTAATCTTATTCTTTTTCAGTATTTTATGCTTACTTCATGAATTACTTACTTAATAAATCTTTCCTATACGAAGGCAACAGATCTCACACACACAAAAAAAATACATAAATAACAAAATATCAAGATCTGTGGACAGGACTGTCAGTTTAAAAAGAATGTACTAACTTTCATATGCTTTTCAAGTTTTTAAAAATTATTTATTTATTTTCAACCGAAATAATTTGAGAATGATTCACTTACACTGCTAAGAACCTGAGTTTTCATCTTCAGAAATACAAAGACAGATATTTATTCACTTACATGTACTTGTTTGTGTGCTTGTGTGTGCATGTGCAGACTTCAGCACAATGGAGGGGTGGTAGGTGAGTTGGTGGGGGGAGTTTAAGAGTATGGGTGATGTCATTATAGGAATGCCAGTTTGATATGGGGGAAATTTTAAATATATCTTTGTCGTAATGGATTCTTAGCTGGAAAATAAAATGTAGAACATAATTTTCTTTATGCAAAACATAGATCTGTAATTAACTACATCTATATCTGATTTGTGGCTGGGAATAGAAATACATGTAACTCTTATGCAGATAAAGTATTACTTTAGTCTTTATGTTAAAACATTAAAAATAAAGCTAGTTTCACTAGAGAATTCAAGAATTAATATTAACCCACTTATGAAAACAGAATGATAATAGAGTTGAACAAAAAAGAGGAAAGGTTACAGCTAAAGCAAGAATGATGAAAAAATAAATGATATAAATTATGAAAAATATAAAGTTTGTGGAAAAAAATGCTAAAAGTTCAAAGTAGGATTCTTGATGAACTCTACTACAATAAGCCTTACAAACAAAATGTATAACTATATGTATATCTATTTTTACATATTTATTTATGAGTTAGATGGATAGATTACAGGTAGATAAGAAAGATAGATGGAGATTGTGTGTATGTTGAAGTGTGTGTGAGAGAGTGTGTGTGCACTCTGGTTTGCATGTGCATAAATACATTTGTGGAGTTTTATTAATAGTGCATCTGGAATGCTCTTTGGAAGCAACAATGGCCAGACTTTGTCCCACCTACTTTGGTCAGGTTGTCAGAAGGAACAATTCCTTGGAGAAGGACATCATGCATGGTAACGTTGAGGGTCAACAAACAAGATGAAGTCCATCAATGAGGTGGATAGACACAGTGGGTACAACGATGGGCTCAGGTATAGTCATGAGGTTGGCACAGGACTGGGCAGTGTTTCATCCTGCTGTGCATAGGATAGCCAAGAGTCGGAGATGACTCAATGGCATCTAAGAACAATAGCAACAACATTGATAGATGGTTGCATGTAATTATTTATATTTAGGAAGGTTAAGGTTTCCCAACACATATAATAATATATTTAATGATCCTTTGACAGTCATTATTCTATGAAAGCCAACTTATTCTGAAAGATTGTGAATGTGCAATTAGATAATAGACCAGCTCATGTGTTTAGTTTGCATATTGGAAGCACATCTATCCATTGGATAACCATTTCATATCCTAAATCAATTAAGAAGAAAAAAAATAGATGTAAGGCAATTTTTGTCCTTTTCTCTTATTAGAGATGTATAGTGACATTTAGAATTGTGAGTAATATGAAGTTACCGACAAACTCCCCACTTTCTTCCAGTGTGATAAGTAATAGTAACAGATAATAATGAGAAACATATTAGAAGAACATAACTGTAAAAACATTTCTAGTGACTGATACTTGGAAAGCAGAGAGAGGGAAAATAGTGCCTGAGGCACTTGACTGCTCACCAGAAAGCTGGCGGTTCAAACCCACCGGCCACTCCTTGGAAGGAAGGTTGGGCAATCCTACTTCCGTAGTGATACTGCCTCGGAAACCCAAGGAGGGGTCGCTATGAGTCAAGGCCGACTCGACGGCAAACAACAACAACAACAAAAAGGCACTTGACTGCTAACCAGGAGGCTGGCAGTTCAAATCCACCAGCCACTCCTCGGAAGGAAGATTGAGCAATCTACTTCCATAGTGATACTGCCTCGGAAACCCAAGGAGGGGTCGCTATGAGTCAGGGCTGACTCGACGGCACATAACAACAACAACAACACGGAGAGTTGGGTAAAAGCTTAGCAGTGCTTGGTGTCTCCATACAGCACTCAGGCCTGGGATCTCTGGGTTGTAGCAAATATTTAACCCAGCATATCTTGAGAAGCCAAAGCAGACTGAATTCTATCCAAAAGTTTAATGAAGCAGGACAATTTAAGTCATTACAAAGGCTTATAGTGCTGATTTTGTTAGGAGCCATCAAATTGATTTTGACTGGTGGGTGTGATCCACCAGCCTTCTGGTTAGCAGTCCAATGCCTTAGGCACTATGCCACCAGAGCTTCCTCAAGTCTATATATTATCTATATATTATTCAGAGACAACTGCTGACTTACAGCTTCCCAATGTGTAACAAAACAAAACATTATCTGTCTTACACTATCCTCACAATCATTGGTATAATTGAGCCCATTGTTGCAGCCATTGTATCAATCTCTTTGTGAAGCTCTTCTTTTTTGTTGACCCCTATTTTACCAAGATGTCCTTCTCCAGGGAACGGTCACCCCTGATAACATCTTCAAAGTACCTAGAAGTTTTGCTATGTTCACTGCTAGGGTGCAGTTGGGCTGTACTCCTTTCAAGACAGATTTGTTCTTTCTTCTGGAAGCCCATGGTATATTCATTGCTTTTCACCAACATCATAATTGAAAGAAAATGATTCTTTGCTCTTCTTATTCGCATGCATATGAGGTGGTTGAAAGTACCACGCTTTGGGTTAGGCACAGCTGAGTCCTCAAAGTGACATATTTTGCTTTTAATACTTTACAGAGGTCTTTTGCAGTAGATTTGTCGAATGCAAATGTAATTTGATTTCTTCACTGCTGCTTCCTTGGGTATTGATCATGGATCCAAGTCAAATGAAATCCTTGACAACTTCCATAGTTTGCCAGTTTATCATGATATTGACTATTATTCAAGTTGTGAGGATTTTAGTTTCATTTATGTTGAGACATAATCCATACTGAGGGGTAGATTCTTTGACCTTCATCAGTCAGTGCTTCAAATCTATATTAAAAAACAAACAAACAAACAAAAACCTCATTGCCATTGAGTCGGATCTGACTCATAGTGACCCATCCTTGAGTTTCCAAGGAGTTATCACTACAGAAGTAGATTGCCTAATCTTCTTTCTGAGGAATGGCTGGTGGAGTGAACCACCAGCCTTCTGGTTAGCAGTCCAATGTCTTAGGCACTATGCCACCAGAGCTCCCTCAAGTCTATATATTATCTATCTATATCTGTTATATATTATTCAGGGACAACTGCTTATAACATTGTGGAGTAGTTCATTCAAATGTTTTTGTTTTTGTTTTTGCTTTTTATTGTCACTTTGGTGAAAGTTCACAGACCAAACTAGTATTTCATTCAACAAACTATAAACATTTTGTTTCATGACACTTCTTGTAATCTCCTTAATGTAACAGCATTCTATGTGCTTCCTCCTTGGGTTCCCTGACTCCATCTTTCCATCTTTCCTACACCTTCCTGTCTTCTGTGCTTTATTTTTGGACCAATACTTCCCTTTTGGTCTTATATGATTTATGGTCTTTAGGAAGACATCCAATCTTAGTATTATTATTCACTTTATAGGTATGTGTATTATTTGGCTGAACACTGATCCCTGGGTTAGTTTCAGTCCCAGGCTTTAACAGCATTTAGGAGCCATTGTCTCTAGGGTTC